CAAGTTGATTATGCTCATACGCAGCACGTTAGTGCATTGTTGTCAGACATGCTGCGGGATATTGGATCCTCCGTGGACAGCTTAGCTATAGGTAGGATTCCTCCATACCTCATCCCTCTTTCTCTGGTACAGAGTCTCCTAACTGCGGCTACTCGAGGTCTGGTCATTCCCCTTCAAGCCCATTTGGCCTACACTTTAGGTAATGCGGTCCCAATCTACGTCAATCCTGAAGACAGAGAATTGGCTTTTATTATCAATATGCCAATCGTGGCCTCCAAAAACATCTGTCGACTAAAGGATGTAGTAAATGTCGGATTCTGGCAGGGTGATGTGCACGTTAAAGTGCAGACCCCTCCCGTTATTGCTTACCATGATAATAGCCCGGACCTATACCTAGCCCCAAATTTGCGCATGTGCACCCTGACCAAAGATATCCATTACCTATGTCCCAGTAAGCCGTTTATCCGCGATAGCACGGATGGGATATGTGGCCTCAAGTCTATGGCACCGGACGCCCGATGCCCAACAACGGTAACATCCCGATCTCAGGTCACTAACACTCAGGCAGAGATTGTAGGAGGCCGCTGGCTAGTCAACACTCCAGCTAGCACTGCTGTTCTAACATATGACCAACATGACACTGCTACCTGGCATCGCGCTGCCCAGCCAGACGCTGTGGATCACTGTACCAGAGAATGCCACTTTACATACAGAGGACTTAGCTCTTTACCATCTGAACCCTGATCAGTAGCGAGAGCGAGAGAGAGGTATCCGAGTTCTTCAGCCAGCACACCTTGGAGTTAGATCCAGACACAGTAACTCAGGTAAAATATAAAGGCACTCAAACGATTGATGTAACTCCAGTTGATGAAGTGCTCAAGGAGATTGTCTCATCTAGCCAGGTCCCTAGTCCACCCATCAACCATGCATGGTCGACCCCCGACACCATACTTGCCGTCACAATAGCCCTAGGATACTTCCTGACCTTCGGGATAGCTTTCTTCTATATTAAATGCTCCCAAGCTCTACAGTGCAAACTGGAAAAATGTCACAGAGGTCTACAAACCTTAGCCAAATCCAGAAAGTCATGAAAAGACAATCACTCAACTGAATTGCAGGAGGTTGAGGAAGACAGGGACTACAGTGGAGTTGGTACTCCCATGGCCCCGGCCATCCTGCTTTCTAAGTAGTGAACTCTGTATAGGACTTGAGCATCAGCTCACATGCACTAACCCTCAATATGCACCACCTGGGCGATCCAAGGTTCCCAGGATGGTCAACATTGGAATCGAGTGGGGGAATGTAGGGGCATATTGATAAGGCCATCCTCAGCAAGGCCAGATGTTTATGTTTATGCACGCTACCCCTTGCTGAACAAATGCTTCTGTGTGATAAAATTGAAATGTATGTTGCAAGTGAGATTATTCTTCTTGTTCCTCTTTGTTGGCCGTTTGACATGTCTTGACTTGTACACACACAATCATGTTTTTATCTGAATGATACTTTGCTTCAACCCTGTTAAAACAAAAGATTGATAAGTTGCAGAATTCAATATTAGTTTCAACTCTCTAACATGTAGCCATACTGCCATCTTGTGGTGGAGTTAAGAAGAGTTACCGCAAGGAAGTCAACTTTATATATTTTGAATGAAGATATAATTATGGGATTATTAATCAACTTGTTGCATGAATATGTGCTCCTTCATTTTGTTTTCATTATATATTGTCATTGAGTTAATCTAGAGTGTGTGTATTTGACGTAGGCTAGCTGATATCACGGCATAATAAGTGTATTTTGATTTAATGTTAATCTGTATGTTTAATTGGATGTTAAGAGTCAATGTTGACCATAGTGGGAAGAGTACGCGTCCCTCGCGCATAACATATCAAAGTATACAACCTCGTATCAGGAAAGTATTAAAGTTTCCTCTGAATATATCTCATGGTGATATATTTTTTATCACGAGGGAAGCCTCCCTGATCAAGGCCGCCCACTTTTTGGCCAGTCAAATACCCGTGCGCTCGGCGCGGCTCACTCTCTTGTTTTGTTCCTCTCTTGTTGTTTGCGTCCCTTGTTCTTTTCAGTTCATTCTAGCAGTGTCTTTTTCCGTTTTAGTTATCTGCTCATCTCTTTTTGCCCTATGTCTTTTGTTACTTATTCCCTATTATTCATACTGTGAATAATAATAACTTTGACAGCGATATCGAACAGCCAGCGATGTTGTTGTCATCATTATTATAAGCGAGTAACCAGAACGAAGTAGACCAGCACCTGCCAACCCACCTCTTCGCTCCAGATTCATCGGAACCAGCTGCCAGCCACTTGCCACAGTCATGGGCGCCTAACTTTGTGTAAAAGTGGGGGGGGCAAAATATGGATGTGCGAAAAACCAGAAACAAAACATATTCCAATAAATTTATTGATTATGAGTCTCAATGCTATGTCGCAGGACCAATTAATTTAAAGAAATGAGACATTCAAATACCATTTTAACAATTTACAAATTTCATTACAAAGGCAGAGGTTACACATTTTTTTCAACTGTCCAGAGCAATATAATGCTGGAGGGCTCTGCATTAACGCTGCATTGGTCACAACTGTAGGTAGGGTGACTAGGTCCCAATAAACCAAATGTGGGACAAGGAGCAGGTTTGTGAGGGACAATGTGGGACACCCGCCCCAGCGCGAAGTTTAGTCATCAGAGACTAAAGACATTCATCATAAACTATACGTAGTCTACTGTATATTAACCCTGGACTGTTTTGTTTATTGAAATATTTAGCAACACAGAGACTTGTGGTCACTGGGATTTGATGATTCTTTTAATAACATCTGTAGCCTACAGATGTGAAGCTCTGACTGTATCTGACTGAGCCTTAATGAAAGCTGTTGTCTTGTATTTTTTTTCCTGAAAATATGAACCTTACAGTCAAACACAGTTTATTTAGCCAGTGTAGCTGAGGGGACAGGTCAAACTGATATGATGCTGATTTACAGGAGAATTCATATCAAATGGAGGATAAACCATAAACATAAACTACAGATCACCTGTAAAGCATTTTAATAAATTAATCTATCATAATTAAAACAACTGGAGACTGAAAACAAACTGATATATGGGTGTGATCACTTTTTTAATGAATTGACATCATTCCAGACAGGATGTAAGTGTGTCTGTGACTTCCTGTACAGACTGAAGGCTGCTGGAAACTGAAGGGAAACTGTCCGAATTAACCGCAGCTTTTTGTCACAGCCCCCCGATGCGGCCGCCTGCTCTCGTCTACTTTCCAGGCGAGGCGCAGTTCATCTCTAACGAGCCTAATGACACTCGCGCCGCACCGCGCGAGTGTCACCTGTTGCGATCAAGGAGGTTGAAATAGTTGCTATATGGGGCGGGAGGGGCGAGCCCTATAGGGCTTAAACACACATGCGGTGTTACTATGACAATAAACAGAGAGCCTACGTGGGCTGGCATGAATGCAAGCGCGGGTGACAACCAATCATGGTCTCAATTTGCATGACGCGTGAAAAGAGACAGAAATGTTGTGCAGTCCCGCACAATGCGGGACGTCTGGTCACCTCACATGTTTTTTTCCTTATCTTATTGTTCCATAAGTTATGGATAGTTAGCTCGCGTTTCATGGTTGGTTTTTCATGTACCCTACAGGCACACTGTGCCGGACTGTACAGCTTCTGCTGCAGTATGCGCGTGCAGAGAGCAGCGCCAGATGTCCGGAGTGAAACACGCAATCAGACAAGCTGCTTCTCCACATCTTTCCCGTTTTTATCATTAATGTGTCTTAAACTACAATGGCGAAAACGTGAANCAATCAGACAAGCTGCTTCTCCACATCTTTCCCGTTTTTATCATTAATGTGTCTTAAACTACAATGGCGAAAACGTGAAATGCATCCACAACTAAGACACGCAAGCTAACTACCAGTATTTGAAAGCAAATTTACAGAAATACAAGCAATCCAAACTCCTTCTAATAAATGGACATGGCAACCATGGTGCACTTGCTTCCTACCTATGGGGTGCAGATTAATTCAAATACGATTATTTAAATGTAAATAAGATTAATTTATTTAATTTTTAATTACAATTTATATTGAAACTATTCAATTAAATATTATGCAACAATGTTTTGACTTAAAAAGAGTTGAAAAAAGCGGGGGGGGGGGGCAAATATGAGTTTTGCCCCCCCACCTTGAAAAGTGGAGGGGCATTTGCCTTACTTGCCTATAGGGGTAGGTGCCAGTGACCACAGTGGTCCTCCTGCCAAGCCCAAAGGCCTTCTGCAGCGTGAACCAGCCCATTGGGCACCCACAGGACATCGCAAACTCAACCGCTCCCCCCTGCTGTGAGACAGCCGTGCCATTCTGCTGGAAAGTCCGGGAGCCGTGGAGCGACAGTCCAGGGGCCCTAAAGGAGCTTCGCCTTTGATCCCCGCTGCTGTGAAAGTGAACCGCTGTGCGGTGAAGAGTGAGGTCGAGCAGGAGGCTTAGTTAATTACCCTGATTTTAATTTAGGTTTCATTAGGTCTAAGTGAATGGTTTTGCGCATTCCTGCGTTCCCCATTTATAATATAGGCTATTTTAATATACTCTCCCACTATCGCCAAACTAAGTAAATCACACGAGTGTTACTTCTCATTTCATTCCATTTATATACTGTTAATTTTGTGTTGTGTCATATAATCAGAATTTGCTATTCATTTATTCAGTTGTTACTTATTTAGTAAATAAATCTTCATTTATCACCAAGCCGTTGTCTGTGTATATATCTATTGGACAGGAGCTGAGATCACTGTATAGAGAATTCATAACCCAGATATTGAAATTGATTCATTATTGATAAGCGTGCTGACAAATTAATAAGTGATTTACAGAGTTATTAATTTGATTAGTCGCTTGCCTCATTAGGAGGGTGGTGCCCCAAAATTTACTACGAGTGCAAATATTCTCAAAAAGGTATTTCCCCTACATGACAAACGACGGATGCTTCCGCTGCATCAAGCAGTTTCCAAACTAGGAGTACCACTGGCCAAGACCATGATCAAGGCACATATACTGACTGGAGATGACTACATGAGCAAGGTGGGGACCAAACATGCAGCATTGGCCTCTGACCCAGTGCAGTATCTGACCAACTTTGGGGAGGCGGACACCTTGTCAGAGCAGGACACAGAACTAGCCGAGAAGTACATAGTACGAGTTTGGGCAGGGGCCAGGTCAAGTACGGCTGCTGAGACGTTTGATGACCTCAGGGTAGAGATCTATACTAGTGCCACTGCTGGGATTGACGCTCTCCCTCCTACAGCTAGTGTTATCGGAGGCCATATCCAACGAGGTGCCTTTCTGGTGCACAGGGCATGCAAACTGCTTACAACAGCCAAAGAACGCGGAGAAAGAGAAGAACCTCTGGAACATGGATGGGAGGAGGACTTTGGCACACTCCTGCCATCAAAATGTATGAAGCCCTTACCACCGAGTCTACTCACAACATGCAAATGTGCAGGCAAGTGTGACACCCGGCGCTGTGGCTGCCGTGCTGCAGGAGTTTGCTGCACTATATTCTGCCACAGAAAAATAGACAGTCCATCTTGTAAAAATGTATCACACTAACTTGTACACAATTACAATATAGTGCACTTAATTGACACTTTTGTTTGATTTTGTGTCATAATTTAATTTTATATCACATTTTTCTTTAGATGCTCTTTGCAAAGTTCAACACCTCATTATAATTTTTCACTCTGTTGTCAGTTACACACACATGCACAAACTGGACCTATACATGCACTAAGTGGAGAGATGTCAGAGTGGGCTGCCCATGACAGGTGCTCTGAGCGGTTGGGGGGTTCGGTGCCTTGCTCAGGGGTACCTCGGCAGTGCCCAGGAGGTGAACTGGCACCTCTCCAGCTAGTCCACGCTCCATATTTTGGTCCGGACGGGGACTTGAACAGGCGACCCTCCGGTTCCCAACCCAAGCCCCTATGGACTGAGCTACTGCCGCCCCTATAATTCCCATGTTCATGTCTCTGAGAAATTGTTATGAAAAATGTGAATAAAAGTGAAAGTACAGAACAAAATCTTGATTGATTTATTGACAAATGACATAGGCATGGGCATGTGATGTGAGTATGTCATTTTTATCTTTTTCAAAAATAGGGCTGCCATCTATGAGGTTAGAGGGAGGTTGGTATAGCAGAGGGAGGTCCACATTGTAAAAGTCTTGACTCTAATATGTCAAGATAGAAAACACATTTTCACCTGTCTCTATCCAGTGTTTAGGTCTGTTGAATTTATGCTAATTAGCGCATACTTAATTAGATTATGCACCATTTGCTCTTGTACACAAACAATTTCAAAAAACTTCCAAAACATTTTTTGTTTGTCTGAATGTGAGTTATCAAATTTCATAGTGATATCTGTTTATTACATTTTTTACCCTATTCACCATGGCAGCCATTTTTGTTTTGGCCACTGCGGCCATTTGCCCACTGTGGCGGACAAGCACCTCCGTGATTTTTCATGTCTAGGGACCCCTTGACTTAGTCCAAGTGAGAAATCGTGTCAACCACAAATTCTGCACAGGACGACATGGCAGGTACAGGACTACTGACCCTAGGCGTCACTCTATATTAATCCAACCAGATTCTGCCACAGTGTCTCCCAAACCAATCATATTGTTTCTGTCTTTCTATATGTTAATCAGATGATTCCACCCAATATACGTATTTTGTATGATAGTAAAACTCCTGTTGGTTCTGGCTGTGTTCAAGGCCTTCAAGCCAGAAGGTGGAGCCAGTCTGAAGTGGTTTGGTGCTGTGCAGCAGAAAGGAACACTGCCGGGGTCTCATTTATAAAACAATGCATAGGGTCCATACTAAAAAGTGGAGGTATTTGCCATTCTGGCCTTCAGTTTTGGTCTCTTGGTGGCACTGTTTTGACCCAAATGTTACATAATCCTGCCAACACCAGAAATTAATACACACAGTGAGTCATGGAACCACCACACATAAAAGTCCTTGAAGCAACCTTGTGAAGAAAGTGAAAGCAATAAAGATGTTTGTGTGAAACTCTTTCTTAAGTTCTTTATTTTTGCCCGTTTTGCTTCATCATGTTCCCTACTATTTGAGAAATGCTGATAACTTTGATAGACTTTGCTTCAGTTTTTACCAGAGCAAGACTCAAAGCAAGAGAATCAAAGATTAAATCAAACCACTTTTATGTAACAGTTTTATTTGTTCTAGTACCCCACAAAGGATTATTGAAACTTTGAGGAAGCTACTGTCCATCTCCATACAGTGTGAAATGAAAAATTAATTCACTGAATACCATTGTTAGTGCTCGCTTCTGCAAGTGATTCATTTGCATAAATGAACAGTAACAGACAGATGGAACAACCTTAATGGGTTCTTGTCTCTGTGGAAAAAAAAAAGAAATGTTATTCCATTTAATTTAGTCCCCTATACAACAACCCATTGATGCAGAAACAAACATGTGAAGCACTTAATCAAATCCTCTAAGTTTAGGGATCCTGCCTCTCCACCCAAGTCAATAAATTTTCACACTTTGTGACTGAAACTTTGGATATCAACTGAAGTGAATGTAGTTGCACTCATAATACCATATAGCTACACCATAACATCACTACAAGAATAAATATAATGTCAAAAGACCATAATTCCTGCCCACAACATGAATGAAAAAGGTATATCATTGTTTTGCCTTAAAGCATTACAAAAAGGCATCAAAGTACCACCCAAACATATGGTACACATTAAGTTGTACTAACAAAATCTAATTATGGGATATGTAATACCAAATGAATAAAAATAAAAGTTAAAAAAAACTGAAAAAGAAAAAAAATTGTTCTCAAAAAAATGGACTCAAACAAGAGACACCTAATCAATACTGTGTAGCCGATTACAAATCCAAGAGACATTTACAGAGTGTATTTAAAAAATAAATAAGATGAGCCTCAATTTTCTACATAAAAAAAGAAAAGGTAAACAAAAAATTTGAAAAAAATCTTTAAGATGGTTGATGGCTAATGCTTGCTGAAACACTTGCTGATATGGCGTAGCATTTACATTACGTTTAAAATGTTACATTAACATAATTAAGCTGAC